GCCTTAAAATCAAGGCATATTTACCCGTCTAGTGTCCGGAGTTTTGCGAAAATTTTGACATAATTCTGTTCGGCACATTCGTGGCTACAGAATGGTTGCTGAATGTTGGTGATTTGTGAGACCGTGGTCGAAATATGAAATGTGAAGTGATAGCTTATTTTGTCTGTTACTACCTGTATTACTTTACTGGCGGAAATAACTTTCTGTTGAGCGGAAACTGTACTTTTTTTTTTAGATTCTGCCAGGTATGCCTTTATGTTCTTTGAAAAGTGTTACTAGGCTCGGGACCCATCTCGGTTTTGTATTAGACCAGTTAGAAGGAGAGGTAGATTTTTTTGCTGTGAATGACCCTTTTTACCGCTTAGAATTTAATTAGCGATAAGTATTTTTGATGATTTTAGTGGAACTATGTTTATAGTATTCTTCTGTAGGTTTTTTAGAAATTTATTACGCATAAAAAAATTTGAAGTGCCTTGGGAGAGAAAATTGAGCATTTAGAGCAAAACAATTGAGCAATGATGAGAACAAAGTTGAGCAATTAAAAAGTTAGAGATTGAGCAACTGAGCAAAGAAAAAAAAAAAAAAGAAAAAATTAGACGTATTAATACAAAAAAGAACATTATTTACAAATGGTAGCATTTACAAATTTAACCTAGATTACAAATAATTCTCCTGAATTTCTTCCTTGTCGTCCTCTTCCGTGGTTCCTGTCGTCAACAGCGCTGTTGTCGGAAGTGGTAGTTCCTTCAGCCGACCCTGTATCCCAGCTTTCTAGATCTTCATCCTCTCGCTTATCCGTCCATCTCTTAAAACCGCAAAGTTTTTAAGACAGTTCAGATATAACGAAAACCAAGAATTAAAAAAGAAAAAAGCCGCATATTTCTCACCATTACGGACTTTGCAGTTCAGTGCTTCAGCCGTAACGTCCCGTAAGCAAACCCGACGAGGAATCCACTCTGACACATCCGTCTGGCATGCGATGTCCCGAGCTTCAACAACCTTCTCAGTCGGTACTGCATCGGCCGTCTGACATGCTGCATCCTTCCCACTAAGTCCACCTTTGTCCGTCTAGCATGCTCCATCTACCTTGGTCACCGCTAACAACTTCCTCACCCGCCTCTCCA